TTGGGCTGTGCGATAGACTTACCTCCACGTTGTGAACCCTGGGCAATGTATACTCATACGACAAAAAGTCTATTAACCGGCATTTGACTTCTGGTTGTCATATTCGACCCCTTTCACAGTACTCATCTTACCTTTTTCTCATCCTTTGTGTCTGTCTGCCTCTTTTACATCTGTGAATCACTCTTCTGTTTCCCACCCCTCGACTTTTTGCTACTTTGATGTTCCTCCCTCTGTGAAGCCCGAAGTCAGCTAAATGGCTAATGATATCTATCAAAACGCCTGCCATTTGAAATAAATAAATAAATAAATTTTTACAATTTTAAAAATTCATTGACCGGTCAGTAGCATTTTCCACATTTCTAGAACTATTTTAAGCTAGGCATTGATACTTAATTACATTTATTTAATTAATCATAATGATTGATTTATTTTAATAATACGATTAATAATTTACTTTAAATGATTTAATTAGTCCGTAAATTGGGGCATTTATTTAATTTGGTGAAATTCGCAGAAATTTTGCGTTTCCTGTTTGTTTTCTAATATTTATTAATATGCTAAATCTGACTTACCATCCTTAGCGTATCTTTCTCAATGCTATAGGTGATATGAGTTGTCTTTGTCCCTTTCTGCTCTTGTTTCAGCGTCTCACCATCCATTGTGAAAACTGTGCGTACAGAGCGTCCATCCATTGTAATTTCATCGAATGCATAGCCCATTCGGAAGGTGCACACAGCACTCTTGATCTTCGATTGGGTTTTGATCGAGAATACCTCCCCTTCCTCGGGGTCGCCTGGGCCCTTTTCACGGGTAATGATCATCAGAGGTTTTGTTTTGTTCATAGTCGTTCTGGCCAATATGCCCGCTCCCATACGCACCAACAATTCACCCAAACCCTCATTTGATTCCAATTTCCACGAGCCGAGAAAGGCCTCCATTAGGAGAGTCTGATATTGAGCGAGATATTAGAAGAAGAAAAAGAATAAGACTGAGGCATTGTGATGCTCTTGACTCACGCACCATCTTATGATTGGTGGTATTCGAGTTGAGCTTTCTTGTGTGGAGGGAAACATAAACAGCTATAAATGACATGGTAAAATTTCCGAATATGAAGTGCGCTTAACAGTAAGAGGAGAAATGCTGTGCGTGAGTGGATGTGTGATCGATAAAATCATGTCTCAGAGTTACTACTCGTGTCTCAAAACTGCAGATTAACAATCACATGATCATCGTTAACATGTAAAGACTTCACACTTGTGCTTATATATTTATGGTAAGACGCAAAACTCTGGCACCGTAATTTTGTATTGCCAGTTGAATATCGATTTGTGCAATATTACTTCCTTCGTCCCACCTCCGAATACGCTAATTTAACTTTGATTTGCAGTGAACATATTTTTGACTCACTCATACTGGTTGATTTCTCTCAAGCGTCATCTGCTTTTTTTAACACATTTACCCGACTTTTAACAAGAAATGTCTACAAGTTTGCGGGCTTCTTCTTTAACAACTTTCACCAAATCGATGACCCATGCCGAGGCTTCGTGAATGAACAAGGGTAGTGAGGAGGGCGAAGGACGAGTTCTCTAAGAGAGGAATCAAAGCGATTATGGAAATGAGGTACAAATTTCGAAATCATGTTCAACTGTGACCTTTTCTACCTCATTGGCCAATGAATTCAAATTTGATTAAGTGGATTACCAACAGGTGGAGGGAAAACTGCTATGGCCACAACTAGGCGACAATTCAACAAGCACTTACATCAGTTCTACACTTTATTTATTGAACGATACTCCAATTATTCTCTCCATTTCACACACGGAAATGGAGATAATTCTAGGGAATATTTTTTCGTTAACTGAGATTAGCCCCGAAAAATTCTAATACTTATACAAATTTAAAACCAAAATTTGCCTTGTTTCTACTTCCATTCAAAGTAGAACATGAATTGACAGGGTATAATTTTTTGAGCACGGTGTACCTTGGGTAAAATATGGATAATTTCTAAATGCAATTAATAAAAATCTTGCAAAACACTTATCAGTCATGTTTTCAAGCATTGAAATACAATTTTGTTAAATCGATTTGTCCTAATAATATCTTGTCAAAGATAGCATTTTATATGGTATCGCCGCTATAAAGCCAAAAATATATTTCATGTTATAGTTATGAGCTCAGAAGTGGAATTATTGGTTTTTCATAAATGAATGAACTGATTTGACCCCCCGCCCCGGTTAGGGTGTTATTTCATGATTCCTTATTAATGGGCAAATTCTTGTTACAAATGTGGAATCTCATGCGCACTCAAAGTGACTCGAAGGTGCGGCCGTGATACTTGCCATATAGGGATCGAATGCGGTCGTGAACGAAGAGCTACCCAAGATAACTCCCGATCAGTGGTCATCGCTAATTTTAATAAACCCTTCATGGTATTTTATTAATGATTAAGCTCTGAGAAAAACTACACACAACCCAACTAAACGTCTGTTTCCTCTGTAGCTTTGAGGTGCTTAGCTAAAGCTTGGAACCATTCAAAACTAGAAGACCTTGCACAAAGATTATTGGGCATAATTCAAGGCCCATAAGTATAGCAAACTGCTATACTTTACTTAGCGCAATGCTCCATTTAACATATCGCAAATTTAGATTTATTAGTTGCAATATTTTGTCAAGTGATATTTAATAACTGTTAAAAAGGACTATTATATAGGTTGTAGTGGATTGCAACATTTATAGGCCTTGGCTAATAGTCGGTAATCTCTGTGTTAATTTTTCCTCGTTTGTAGCAGTTCCAAAGATTAGCTTTGATCATAAAAAGTTATAAAGGAAGCAGACGTTTTTTGCGGAATACGTTTATTCGCGTGGTGGTATGTATTGGGTTGCGTCTTAGATATGTGTTGACTCGTAGAAGACTTAGAGATTATATACACATTCAGGGATGAACTTGGTTATTGATTGATTGAGAGATCTCAGCATTTTTGATCTCATTGCTTGATTGGCATGACGTTAATAATGCGTTTCATTGTTTCAACCGTACTGACGTTATGTTCTCCACACGTACTATCAACTTCAATACAGTCATGTCATGATAAATAAAATAGTTTAGTTGGTTTTACCTAAAAATAAGAGTGTTGAAACGTTGATAAAGTACAGTGCACACGTCTGTATGCTTATTAGAACTAGCACGAAAACCATAAGAAAAAAAATTTTGCCCTGAACATTAAGTCCTGTTAAGAGAAAATATAAATAACACACATCAATCTATTGAAATCCAGAAGTTATCATTATATCTGATATTATACGTAGTTAACAAAATATATGTTATTATGACATATAGGTGTCAATATATTTCTCGATTTTCCTATCAAAAATAGCATCGCCAAATAGGTCAATCCAGAATGAAATAAATGATTTAAAATTCAAGCTCTACATACGTAAGATAATAATATCTGATAATTAGTTTTGTGCTTAAGTTAAAAGATATATAAACGTAGATGTTTACTTTAAGTAACTTGAATAACAAACTTACGGTTATTGCGCGGCACTTAAATTTGAGGATTTACTTCGGGTATTTCGCATTTATTCTGCTTCATCACGCTTGTCATAATAAACACCGATCATTTTTTTACTCTATTCGATTTGAATTTTTTAGATATAACTAGAGCGAATCCGATTTGTATATTTTGATATCTATTTTTATTAAATGGCTGAACAGGGTCCTAGTGGCCCTCGATCGTTTGCAAATTTTGATGAAAGGTGAGTTATTTTTAAATCGTTATTCGTTTAGCGTTTCTTTTGCGGAGCCTCAATTGCGGTCTGAAATGTTGGATGATTCATTTAAGAACGTTAGGTTTGTTCAAGATCAGTCTGAGGTAACAATAATATCACATGTTTAATATTTTTAAGGAACTAGCTAAATTAAGAATTGATAATTTTAACCTACGCTTGTTGTGCCATAAATATGATGAAGTTTTTAAAAGAGGCCAAATTGAAAATGCAGGACTTGTAAGCTAATATATCTCTATGATTTGATTGATAATTACTAGCGAATCTACAATCTCGAACAAGAGAATATGAAAATTCGTGGCCAGCTAGATCGTGCCTCGCGAATTTTATCGTCTTTAAAACATGAAAATGAAAGTTTGAGGAATGATAATGAAAAATTAACGGAAAATCTTGAGATCTCCGTTAATGGTAATACGATTTTTTAAAATTCATCCTTATTTGGCTCGCTAGAGTGGCAAAGGAAGTACGACTCGCTCTTCGCTGACTTTCAAAAACTGAAAGTCTCTGAAAGAAGATCAGAAAGTCGATGCGAAGTGATTGAAAGCGAATCATTTCGACTTGAAACTGCGAAAAATGCGTAAGTTAGAATCCACTTGTCATGACTTCGTTTTAGTGAGTTGTCAACCCTCCAACAGATGTTGACCTCTGCTGAATCAAAAATTACTCTTTTGGAAACAGAGATAGCCGAATTACGTAGCAAAGGTAATACGTCGATCGATCGGCTCTCTGGTTGCATTGATGTTGAGGATAAAGAGAATGTTGATTTGAATGATCTTCTTACTCCCTTGTCGTCACCCCTCAAAATGAGTCGGGGTAGCCTTCTGCGTCGGTACGTTGCGGCTCAAGAAATGTTAAAATCCCTCAACTCAAACTGTGATTCTCTGTCAATTAATCTCTCCAACTGTCGACACGAACTCTCGATCTCGGAGAACAAATTCCGTCTCCTCTTAGAACAGTATAATGATGAAAAAGCTTCTCACTTGAGGGATCTCGAGCAAAGGGACGAGCTGGAAAAGAATCTTCATGATCGGATCGCCGATCTCCTCAGGGATTGCAGTGATAAGGACGAGTTGAATGAGGAATTAACAGGGGAACTCAAACAATTGAAGGAATTTGACGCTCGTATCAAAGAGGAACACTTGAGGCAGCTAAACAAGCTACACTCGGTTAGTTTCGTGCGTTTTTTAAATCCATTTTAACGGTTTTACAGGTGTCAAAGTTACCAGATTTACTTCGGCTATTTTGAATAGTCTATTTTGTTATCTTGATTGGAATGCTCTAGACTATGTGCTTATTCCTGACAAATGATATCAATTGATTAATATCAACTGTCTCGATTTTTGCCTCTCCTTTCTTTTATTGTTTAATAACATTTGCTGGCTTTACTGGTGGGATAGTGGAGTCATGTAAAATGTGGCCGTTTTCTCTACAACTTTACTCTTACACTTCAGCTGTGAAATAGATCACGATCTCAACACTTTTTGTTTTCCATTAATCCCAAAATCGACTGTTTTTTTTGAGATTTTGTCAGGAAGAGTAGCATTGCTTCTGAAATGCTGTGGCTCCGTTTATGGTTCCACTCACAGAATGGTCATTTATGATTTTCAAACCTATTGGCATCTGATTCGACAGATTTTTTGGGTTAATCATTTCTTAGTTAAAAACTACGAGAGCTCGCCTTTCTCTTTACAATCAATGATGCCTCGCATACTGCACTTGTCCGATTCTTTGTTATTGATGGCTCTACGCTTGCAACAAGATCATGAAACAAGCCATCTACGCTTGGCGGTGGGGTCTCTTGATTATAACCCCCCCCCCCATTTCCTTCAATCTCTTTATCCAACATAAGCTGTTATTGGCAGTCAGCCTTAGAATTGTCTTTTGCTTATTTTAACTCGGTCGGCCTCTTGAAGTACTTTGATGGCACCTTTTCCGATCTGTTGTAGTTACTAGAGGATAGAGAGCGCGCTTTGTTGGAAATGTACGTTCCAGAGGCTACTCATACTCCTACCGAAGAAAGTGAGGTGGTGGCCGAGGTAACTCAATACCATCATGACCCAGATTCCAGTATTTTTAACTCGAACGTGGATGTTGTCACAAAGGAGAAGGCGGAAGAGCAGCAAATGACGGATGTGACATCATATGTCGAGATGAACAAACTCCAACACGAGGTGGCTCTTTTGAGAAGTAAGCTGGTCACACAAATCAAAGCCAACACTCGTCTCAAGGCCGCTTTCAATGCCCTCTCCGAGAGCAATCCTCCCCCTCAAAAGGTCGTCACCGACAATCCTCCCGTCAACATATCAATTTCCCTCAACCCTTCCATTCTTGGTAAGAGCTGATTCATTTCTCCCCATTAAATTCTTTTCGTTTTTAATAGAGGAGGCAGGGAACACATCTCAAGTTAATGAATCCTTCGCTAGTCTTCTTAATTCCAACAAGAAGGTGTCCCAGACTCTGGACAGAACAGTGAATGAACTCAAATCTGCCCTTAGTAGGGTGGAAGCTGAG